TTTTTTGTTAAAATCAACATTTTGAAGTCATATTCATCCTTTGATCAAGGGTTGATCATGATTCATCAAGAAAACTCCCAAATCATCAAAAGTCAAAAGTTGCCAAATTAGGGTATTTTGAAGAAGAAGTCAACTGAACTTTGACCAAGGATAACTTTCACATGCTTCATCAGATTTTTCTCAACCAAACTCATTTTTAAGGAAAATCAATTCTCTACAACTTTTTCTATCTAAACTTAAGTACAAAAAATGCTTCATTTGAGAGATATGGACCAATACATTATAGGCCATTTCAAAAGTCAACAAAAAGACACTTTTTGTTAAGGCAACTTACATCAATATAAAGTCTTCAAATGAAAAAATGATAAAAATAGAGATTGTAGAGGACATCTTGAGGTTTCCAAAAAAGTCAAATATCGCCTTCAAATGATGAAAATTGAAAGAGTTATGATTAGTGCAAGTTGGAAAATTTTGAGCAAATGCATGAAGTTCAAATTGAGCAAATTTGAAACTTTGGACTATTGGGCTGATGATTCAAGGTCCAAACGTGTTATACACTTCATAGTGAATCTAAAGACTTGCTTATACACCCTCTTTTGGTTTATTTCATTTATTTTTAATTTTTATTATTTTAAAAAAGTCAAAATAAAAAAGGATAAAACATGAGCTTCTTACACAACTCCAAGCCCATGTTTATTTGACCTAAATTCAAGCTATATAATCTCACTCATCCAGACATCAAAAGGATACAAACCCTGGAAGCAAAATCACTTTTCCAAAACTCCAAAAATATCAAAGAATTAAAGCAAATCGAAACCCTAGTCTCAAGCCTCTCTCAAGGTCAAAAATCTGTTCCATTCACTTCCAGGAATATCATAGGGTAAGGTTGGATCGTTTGCAACGATCCAGAAGGCTGAAAACATACGAGCATGCATCGCCAGTTTCTCATATTGCATGATTTCATATTTTCGTTTTTATTTGCATTTTAATACCTATTAATTGTGCTAATGTTTTTATGAGGTGTCAACATGCAGGAAAAGTCCATCGTATAAGCTCCATGATGGCTGAACCATGAATCACCATGTTCATTTTGATTCGTGCAATTTTCTTTGTATCTCCTAAACCAATGAGTTTTAGCCCAAAATCGATGGTCCCATTGAACTCACAGATTTGGATTTAGGGGGGTAGGGTACCCTTGGACTTCTAACTGTGTCTATTTTGCAAGTTTGAGAAAAAGACTCACCAGAGAAGACAACCGAAGCTAGGGCTCTGGCGCCTCTCAGGTCCAGGCATTGATTTTATGTTGTATTTAATTTGTTTCTTTTATATCATCGGATGTATCACCACCCCAGTGGTCAAAATGCATGCGCTAAGGAATTACTATCCCAGGGCACGGGGTCGATTCCTGGTTTTGACAAATTTTTCATATTTTCTGATTTTCAGTGATTACATGCAGCGCTTCCCACAAGCCTACGATGCACCCAGCCACGTATCACCATCAGATCTTCATAAGGTCTGATCCAATATTTCAAGATCCGCGAGCACATGATGAACCCTCCCTAGAGAAAAGCACTGTAGCACACAGACTTCATCCAGTGTATTGAGTCTCTCCTCTTTGGGCCTAACGAAATTCCTTTCAGTACCCCCCCCCCCCTGTTTGCTTAATCAGGCCCAATCAACTTTTTTTTTATAATATTTTTCTTATACCTTTCTTTTTTTATTTTACTTATTTGTTTTTAATTATTAATTAAAATATCAAAATATTAGTTTTAGGTTAATTAATTAGGTTTAGTTTTAATAAACTTTTTTAATTAAATTAATTTAATTAATTATTTTCTTAATTAAAATTAAGTAGATTCTTAGGATTTTTTAAATTAATTGACTTTTTTTTACTAAAATTAATTAGATTTTTTTAAGTTTTAATTAATTAATTACAAATCTCTTTTTCATAAAAAAATAACAAAAACATTTCTTTTTTCTTCGATTCCAATTTTTCAAATCAACCGTACTTTCACGAACATAGTTTTTATTTGTCGCATTTCTTTTTATTATTATGAAACTGTTTTTCGGGATACAATAGTAATTAGGATTTATTTTTTCGCATTTTTCTACTTATGTACCTCTCCCAAAGCGATGTAATAGTTTAGGGTTTACATTTCTTCTTTTTACTTTCCGCACCTTTACAGTTTTCTATATTTGTTATTTACTGCTTAGTAATTAGGGTTGTATGGTAAGATTAAAACGAATCGATAAGCTAACCCTAACTACAAAGATAAAATAACTGAACACAAATCACTTGCACACTCGCACCTTTAGGATAACCTCCCTTGTTGCCTTTCGGAAAATAGTCATGTCCCTCGAACGTGGGGATGCTTTAGCAAAGTCCCTCAAAAATAAAGATCATAGTCTCTTGATGACCCTTTCGACGTTGCCTTCAGAAAACAGTCATGTCCCTCTAAAGTATGGTTTCTTTAGCAAAGTCCCTCGAAAACAAAGATCATTTGCCTTCGAAAAATAATCACGTCCCCCAAACGTGCAGATGATTTAGCAAAGTCCCTCGAAAACAAAGATCATAGTCCCTCGATGACCCTTTCGACGTTGCCTTCGGTAAATGATCTAGTCCCTAAACGATAATTGCTAAAGCATCCTTACCATTTTCCTTCGATGATTGTACGATGACCCACGCTTGTCCCTTCATATCCAACGATAGGGCTTCCTACTAACTAATGGTAGGGTACCACTATCTAAAGGAGGAGGAAAATACAAGAACGACCTTGAGTAGGTAGAATGCTATTAATCGCTTGCTCATAAAGCTTTTCAAAACAAAAATATTTCACACAGACACTTTAGAAATATTTTCAAAAACACTTTGTACGTATTCTCGAGGACAGGTACGAGAATCATTACAAAGTTTCACCTTACAATTGGTAACTTTTCAAAATATTTTTCAAACATACACAACACAAAGCAAAGTTTAAAAAAGTGAGCTATCGATTAAGAACTCGTAGATAACTACGGATGAAAAGGGTGCTAACATCTTCCCTTTTCATAGCCTACCCCCCCCCCCCCCCCCCCCCCCAAACTCAAAATCTTAAAAGGTCTTTCCTGTTCTTTTCATCATTTCCTTATTAGATAAAAAAGTCTGCGGTGACTCTTGTTATCCGCAACATTTACGATAAAACGCAAAATCAAGTCAGTTCTCCCACCGTATTACACATTGGATCTTGGGCTTGAGCTTATGAAATCACATCTAGCCCACATGGAATTGCGCCAAAACACACCAACAACTGCTTAGCAAGCAAGAAACTCGTACAAAGGGGGGAAAAGTGGGAGACAAGGTAGAATGTGACATGATCCCACAGTAGGTGCAGGCGGCATGGTCTGATCACATCATGATACGAATGTACTCGTTTTTGTCTTTTATCTCCTCCACTATCAACTTTTAATTTGAAAAGTCTTTATCCTCTTTTTCTGTACTACCACGCTTTAACTCCATTTATTATTTCCTTCCACGCTTCCCTCAAGAGCCAACAACTTCCTTTATCACATTCCCTTTGCCCAATATATCTTTTCATGATGCCAGCTTACGCTTCATGCAGTAGTCCACTACAGTCTTGTCTGCGCTTGCCCCTGCTAACCTTTGATCACGCAAAAACACAAATAAATAATAAAAAAGAGAGCACCTATTATGCTCCACACTAAACACTAATTTAACAACAAAATTCAAGAAATTAAACAAGAAAGCATAAAAATACTATAAACATTAAAACATAAAATCATGTATTAACTCACAAAATGTGTGTTAACATATTCCAAAAACTTAGACTACTTTTCTAAATTTATCTCAATGATAAAAAGAGCAATGCTATGTCATTTCTTGTTGTACCAAGAAAGCAAACAGTTTACCTATGATTTTATCTAAATATTTATATCCTATTTTTTACTATGAAAAGATGTTTCAATACACAATGCATCCGAAAATATTTTTTGAAAAGGAGAAAAATTAAGTTTTTGCATGATGTGTGATAAAACACATGGCATGACATTAAGAAATACCATTAATAAATGTCACATTTTTTCTTAAACCATTTGACGTTTTTGGAATTGTGACAGTATTACAAAAGAGAACAAAATTAGTAACCGGAGGAAAGTGATGCAAATGAGAAATAATAGATAGCATCAGGGATAGGTAGGTAGGGACTATCCTGCCACTGAAATTTTGACCAAGTATTACAAAAGAATTAAAGAGAATGGATCCTCTCCAATTTTTTTCATTCAACTCCTATTCTGCTCTAAATCCAACGTTCCAAGAAATAAAAGTACATACACTCATTATTATAATCTGGAGTTTCAACCTAACTTTGCTAGACAAGCTATGTTCATTTTATAAAGTTGTCTCTAACCAAGACCCCTAGCTTCTTTGACATAGTGTTCCTACTCCACTAAACCATATGCATGTTCTTTCTATAGAGTGAAAAAATAAATCCTCAAAATTAATGTGAAATTTGTTTCACAGGCCTATTAGAAGTCTTTCAAATGGTCAAAAATGTGTTAGATACTAAATCAACAACCTTAACAAACTATAAAAAAAATGCAGTAAAATTCTACAATAAGAACCAAGAACATAAAATAATTTCATTGATTAGATCAAAAGAGAACTGCCATTTAAATACTACTTCTAAGACATCTTAGCCATCCAAGTGGCACAATCACAAGACCTAAGAAGTTTCTAGAACTATTATAATATAACCACTAATATATTTAAATATTAAATAAGTTATTATAAATATAATTCTTTATTATTGTCGACGGGTTCGAAGATGAAGATACAAAAGTGTGGTACAGATGATTTTTGATTCTCTTCCTTTGAATCCATACGTGCATTAACTCGGTCACTAAATTCGTTGGACGATTTCACCACTGAAATAGAAACATAAGTGAAACCTTTGTTTATCTCTAAAGGGGTAAAAAATGCTCCTCCGCTCACCGCCGATTCAAATATGTACCTCTTCGAAGTCGGTGGTGGCTTATGTAGTTTCAATGGCGGTCGCTTTGGTAGTTTCAACGTTGGAGGCTCCGGTAATCCAATGGCGGTGGCTCTGATGGTCTCAATGGCGTTGACTGATATGAGAATATATCAAGAGGTTTCAATGGTGGTGGTCTCCATGGTAGCACCAGCGGTTTTGGCGGTGGACCAGAAAAGAATGACTTCAAAATCCAATCTGCTCCATTTCTTTCTCCTAAAGTTGCTCTGATGTGGATAGATTTTTGTTGAGGAAGGATAATATCAATTTTTGTTTCTACTTCTTCGTTCGGTTGTTTTGTTTCTCATAAATTTTTTGGTTTAGAATCTGTAGTCCTTTTAAGTGTCACATGCAAGTATACATGTTGTGATTGTAACAAGTAATAAGTATAAGAGTATCGTGTATTCATAGGGAGTGTTTTTACTTAGATTTGATTTTTTATGTAAACTATTCTTTTGATTTAAGCATGAGCAGAGAGAAATAATGGTTGGTTTTATGAATTCAAGTTCACTTACAATAGATGCCAAAATTAAGGTGAAAAGGAATGGAAATATATTAAGAGTGATTGAGTTGAGCTATGCAAGTGAATATCTCTATCTTACTCTTCAACTATTTTTATTAAGAAAATCACTTGTTGTATCTCTCACAATAACAAGCTGTCATCTACTCCTAAGTTAATCAAGCAAAGAAACTTGTAATCAATTAACGTATAATAAAAATAATCACTTAACCACACATCATTTAACATGAAAACACTTTAATATTAACTTCACATTGCTCAACTATAAAAGGTTTAGCTCATAGTGAGCGGAATATAAACTACAAACATGCTTCTCAATAAAAACATCTCTTAAACAATAAATGAAGAAAATATATAAACTTAAGAGAGACTTGGAAAATAACTTGAGACGGCTAGTCTTCAAGAGATATCTTCAGTAGTGCCACTGTTCATCAGCTAGTACAGGATTGGGTGAGGAAAGAAACTCTTGCACACTCCACTATCCACACACTCAAACTCTTGGTGTTTTTTTCTTAGAACAGTTGAACTCTCTTTTCATTTCTCATTGCAGCTCTATTTATAGACTAAGGATTAGGGTGTGTTGCATTGGATCATGGGCCTAATATGAGGAAGTCACATCAAGCCCATACAAAAAAGTAGTTCCAACGCATAACCTCTGTTGCTTAACCAACAAAGAACTTGGTACAAGGAGACCATGGTGGGAGATAAAGTATATGGTGGGAGACAAAGTGTATGGTGGAAGACTGTCACATCAGGTGCAAGTGGCACACTGTTCTTTGCGCAATGTACTATTGTGCCCATTTTTGTCCTCTAGCGCCTATACCTTTGTGCTTTGAATTTGAATTGTTTCTTCCTCTTTTTCAGCACAACAAAGTGTTCCCTCCAATTTATCTTCCTTCCACGCTATCATTCTCAGTCAGCTGCTTGCAACAAATATTTCCCTTTGGCCAGTGTCTTTCAAGTTTCGGTTGTTGATGCACATGTAGTAGACCATTACAGTCTTGCCTCAACTCAACTTTGCTAACGTTTTACTTACAAAAGCAAACATTAATAATAAAAAGGGAGCACCTATTGTGCTCCCAGCCAAACCAAAAAAAAACCACTGAAATACAAGTACAACTATTATGATAATAAAAAGACTAATTGGTGAAAAATAAAGGCATGTATTAACTCATAAAATATGGGTTAACACACCCCCAAACCTAAACCATTACTTGTACTCAAGTGATGCGACAAGCAAAGATAGTCATAACAAAATCCAAGTATGCATCCCCTCTTTAATAAGACCAAGTTTTTTTCCAAACTCAAAAAATTTCTCAAGGGACTTGTCCTAAAAACAGGTATAACTCAGTTCTGAATCACATTCTTGATTGTGTATGCTCTTTGGGCCACTCATACTCCCTGTCATGACAGAACTCTTCTATCAAGAGAGCCAGCCTAAATTCAAATATTGATTGCTTCTTCCTATGGCTTACAACTTATTTTTCAGCTCTAGCATGAGGTTTTACTTTTTTGTTCTTGAACTTACACCTAGGACCACACTTGCATCTATTCGAAAGAAAAAAAAATTTGTAGTTGCTGCCATCTTTTTCACTTGCAATGAGTCCCGCTTGTTATTATGAGAATAACTAATGTTCCTCCAGACACGGGCACGGGAACTTATTGAAAATATGCTCATCCAATTTCAGGCACAAGAGTTGTTCCTCCAGTTTTGGGCACAAGAACTTATTGAAAAGTGCCTTTGGAAACGTCTATTACACACCTTGGTGTGTTTATTCAAGAAAATGCAATGTTCCTGGAGTGTTCCAGTCCTTTTAACAGATGTGTCAACCATCCTAACTAAGCTTAACAACTAGTTTTTATTCCATACTTAAAAGCAATTCAACTTTGTCTGCATTCTACCTACTTTCTAGATTACCAGAGTCGCGATATGGATTATCAGTAACATAAGATCAATGCAGAAGAAACTCCTCAAGTCCTTGTTCCATGTATTGTTAAAATTCCACTAGAATTTTCTCTAAGTCTTCCTAAGTCAGTCTATTGTAAGAGGGAAATCAACTCAGTCTGTTCATTTGTTTTTATTTTATTTTTTTAGCATGAAAATGAAATAACTATGAAAACTACAAACTACTTAAAACATAAAAACAATTCATTAAATAAAAGGCTGAAACAACCAATAGAACAACAATAATAAAACTAACAGTAAACATGATTGATTGATTTGAGAGAGTGTGATGTGGTGGGAGAACTGACTTGAGGTTTTACGTTTGTGTTTGCAAATGTCGCGGTTAGCAAGAGTCGCCACCGACTTTTATTTTATCCAAAAGGAAAGGTAAAAAAGCACAGGAAAAACCTTTGAGATGTTTTCTTGAGTTCGGGGGGTAGATTATGAAAAGGGAAGGTGCTAGCACCCTTTTCATCTATGGTTTTCCATGGGCTCTTAGTTACTTGTTTAGATCACTTGCTATGCTTTACGAATTGTTTGAAATGGTGATTTGTGTGGTTTTGAAAATATTTTGAAAAGGGGTCATCGTTTAGGTAATCTTTGTAATGATTCTCGTTCGTAAGAAAGTATACAAAGATGTTTGTCTTTTGAAAAATGTTTCAATGTTTTGAAAGTTGTTTAGAAATATTTTGAAATGTGTGTGTTTGTTTGAAAATAGCAAGGACTGTTTTTGAAATGATCAAGTAACTAGAAGCATTCTACCTACTCAAAAGTCTTTCTTGTACATTTGTATTCCTTTGATATTGGTGATTTACCATTGTTTTGGTAGACAACCCTATCTTTGGATGTTAAACGGGACGGGCGAGGGTCATCGTATAACCATGATAGCAATGTTGCCAAGTATCTTTAGCACTTTGAGGGACTAAGATCATTTGTTTTTAGGAAACCTTTTGATAGCGCCATCGAGGGACTATGATCTTTTTGTTTTGATTGATTTTGCCAAGATGCCTAACATGCATACCATGGCCATTTTTAGGCAACAAAGTGGGTGAAATCCTAGAGGTGCTTGTGTGCAATGTGTTGTCATTTTTCATGCATTTTTGTCTTGCATTAGGCCATGTTATTTGTTTGATTTTTTTTGTCTTATCATACAAAACCCTAGTTTTTACTAAACATGGATATAATGCGATAAATTGCGTAAAGTAAATCTAAACTATTACAACAATATTATGGGAGGGGGATACAAGTTTTGAATGGGATATATTTGCACAAAATAAAACCCTAATTCACTATTACAACCCAATTGAATTTATTGCACAAATAAATAAATAAACAAGTATTCAAATATGCAATAATGTGTATTTATGCAAAAAAAAAAATGTTTTGTAATTGTTTTATATATGAGAAAATAAAATTATCTAATTCCTAAAAATAAAATAAAAAATAAAATTATTATTTTTGAAAGGGGAAACCCTAATTTTGTTTTAAAAGAAAATATGTCTTCTATTATTATTCATTTGTCCATTTTTGTCATTAGAAATAAATAAGTAATATTATACCCAATATTAAAAATTAAATATGTGTGAAAATAATGTTTTGTGTGAAAAAAATAATAAAATAAAAATGTATAATATTTTTATTAAAAGTTTTTATGAATAAATAAGAAAATAAGCTCTATTTATAAAAATAAAATTATTTTATGTGAAAAAAATAATTAAAATAAAATAAAATTGCAAAAAATTAAGAAAATTATTTTTATGATTTTTAATGTTCAGAAAAATAAATGCAAGTCAAAAATATCAAATATGCAAGAAAATATGCAAAAATATAAAAATAATCAAATGGGGTGCATATAGGAAACAGGGGGTGTGGAAAGTAGAAAAAACAAGGCCCAGGCATGCCAGGCCCAGACAGGTCGTCCCTGTTCTCCAACTCTTCTCAAACGCGCGTTTCTGTGCTTCAACCTGTAACTTGTTATTCTTTGCATAAAATCAAAAACTTGTAACATGAAAAATGTAGCTCATGATCTCACGATTCCAGTGATATAAAGTTTGAAACCTAACTCTAAAAAACCAGGGAGAATTTCAGTGGCCCTAATTCCTGACCTAATTTTTTCATGAACTTCAACAATCAAATACTCTTAGCTCAGTTAATATAAATGACAACTATGCATATGTACAGCTTAAGCAAGTTAAGGACTACATTTTTGCTTCACAAATCGTGACCTAAGGATGCCTAAATAGAGAGATAGTGTTTACAGTGATTTCTGGTAAACAACCGCTAGTCCTCCAAACTATCAAATAATCTTAATGACTGTTATTTAATCTCTCTGGTAACTCGCAGGATCGACTAGATTGATCCTAGGATGTATTGGTCATTTGGATAACTCTCATTATAGAACTGGTATTCATGGTTGGTATTTAGAATGTTGTGTAGGTGTTTAACTTACTTTGATTACTCTATTAAAGATCTAATAACATGATCAAGTAAATGCGCGCGAAACTAAATTGCATGAATAAAGTTCAATTGTAAAGACATATAAAACTGCAGAAAAGACAAGTAAATGACTTCGAAGCATAAAAACATGTAATGTAAAAGATTCTCTGGAATGTAAAAGATTCGAAATATGAAGAAAGCGTTTAAATGCAAGAAAACAGTAAAATGACTTTAAATGAAAAAAGGTGTTCGAATGATAAAGGCATGAAGATAAAGGCATGAAATATACAAAAGTTTCTGAAATGTAAAGTGTTTGAAATGGAAAGAAAA